CCGTCGACACACACACACACACACACACACACACACACACACACACACACACACACACACACACACACACACACACACACACATACGCGGCTCACGCAGTGTGGCAGTACTATGGCAGTATATATGGCTTAGGTTAACAGCAAGTGACGCACTGAGCGCTGTTAAAACGCGAATAGAGGAAGACACAACATGGAAACAAATCTGATTTTCGTGACAGTTATCACTTAAGTTTTTAGAGCAAAGGGCTTGTCTGCTGAATGTCAATGTGTAAATCATTGTTGCCTATCCGCACACGAGCACGCGGTCGCTCTACTGTGTAACTTTATACAGGGCTTCAAATGTTAGCTGCCGTAAATGAAATTCTCTTAGCCGCAAGGGAAGATTATCGTAAATAATCGTAGCTATTCGTAGGTAAATACCTTTAGTTGAAGACGTGCAAAGCTGTCGGGAATAGAGCTGATACCGGTGTCTCGCAGCCGGAGGACCCTTAAATGATCTAGAGAAGATATGGCTTCTAGGTCGCTGGTAGTTAGCCACTCTGATGAGTCGTCGATGCTGAAGCGAGTTCCCGTCATATCCAGGTACGTCAAATTCGGGTGATATTTAAAAAAGTCTCGTAACATATATTGTCGCAAATCATAGTCGACAACACTGCGAATAGTTGTATGCGCAATGGACAGTTTAGTTAATCCAGGACACGCCACTGGGATGCCAAAGTTGTCCTTTTCAAGACACATGATTCCATTTATAAAGTATAGTTCTGCTAGGACTAAACTTTCTATTGGGTTCTGCGCGTATACACTGCTTTCATTACACAAGTGGTATTGATTCAGCGTTAATATTCTTAGGGAATGTAGAGATGAAAACGAATATGAAAATTTGTAACCTGTCCCCGCATAGCTGATAATGCCAGGCTCTCGATTTCGAGGTGCAAACGATAAACTTAGTTGGATTATGTTAGGGCAACTGGAAAATGTTATAATTGAACCTGCACACAGATCCGTCCCCACACATTCAGGCCACCTCTGAGTATTATCACAACTGCAATAAAATTCTGGCCCATCAATTTCTAATTTTGTTAAGTTGGCTAGAATTCTACCAGCGTCGGGAAGAACAAACATAATGTCACCGTTGCTTCCAGAGCTACGCAATGTGATAGATTGCATATTGCTGGGAAACCATTCTTGTATATCTATAGCCGTAACGCCAGAGAATCCCACCAGAGAGACCGTGCGTAAATTAAAAAATGACGTCCGCAGGAGACTCGCAGAAGTTTGCATGCAGGTGCTATTGCAATTTCGCACGTCCATACTGAGCCCCACGAGTTTTTCGGTTACGTTGTGGTCGCGTATCATAGCGAGCACGACGTTGACTGGTGCTCCTGACTCCGGCAGCGACAAATTCACGGCCATGGTGTGGCTTCTTTCAAGGCTAGACATCAAACTTCGCATCGATATATAGTCTCTCACATTATCCGTATATTGATAATGTAGGGTGATGTTCAACTTCTTCGGCAGGTTGTCAAAGAAGGAAGGCTCGAATACCAGGCCGTTGTTGAGAGAGGTGAGCTCAAGTGTGTGCAAAGGGCAGGCTCCAAAGACTGCTGAAGCTAAATCGCCGATAAACGTGTTGTTGCGCATTATAACACTGCCTATTCCCGATACCCTTCTTAAATTGCAACGATGTGGCCTGGAACTTGTATTATACTTCGTCCATGCGATGGGGCCTACATCGCTTGGCGTTACTGCTAGATCATTACCCCATATGTCTAGCTCGTGCAGTAATGGACAAATTGATGTAATCTGATACAAAAGCTCTTCTGTCATGCCTTGAAATGAGCCTTTTAAAACTTCAAGTTTTGTCAAGTTGCTTGCCAGTATGAAATCGGCAGGCATCGATCGGTATTGGCCAGCCTCAAAAACCAGAACACGTAGCTTACGGTTTCCGGAAAATGTATGTTTGTCCATGACCTGCCAACCGTCTTCTGTACTTTTCCAGTTTTGCGGTAGATAGTTTGGAAGATACCAAAAAAGTTCTAGATCTGTCAGGCGAGCCATTTCAGAAATATTGATGTCTTTGATGTATGTGAATGTGAGATCTAACGATTTGACTTGAACAGGAATGTCAACAGGCATCCTTTCCAACCCTGCAAACGAAAACAATAAAAAAAACCGTGGTTAGCAACCGGAAACTAGATATACACATATGTGTCTATCTTTTATTGTGATGACGCCAAGAGTCTGACATCCCCACTCTGACATCACGCACTTGACTTTAAAGTTTGTCGCCGTTGAAAATCAACCGTGGCAGCGAAAATGTCAATGTTATCATTTCATACATCAATAAATCCGAATTATATTCATCTAGATAACATGGATTAATTGCAGACAATAAAGACCAAAAATAAGTCATTTCAAAACATTTCACTTGTAGTCAGGGGTGTTAGGGATATTTTGGTTCACATTCTTCCAAACGCACCAAATTTGGCCCAGATGTTGCCAATACCATACTTTTTTGATTTCTGGCGGGCGCCGGAATGGGCGCCCCCGGGGGCGAATTTTTTTTTCCTACACGTTATATCCATTGGGCTTGATATACGCATATCAACTTCCGCATCATACTTTCCGTATATCAAAGAATGATGCAAAAATTCTAACCCTAACCCTAACCCTAACCCTAACCCTAATCCTAACCCTAACCCTAATCCTAACCCTAACCCTAACCCGAAGCCCAACACTAACTATAAAAAAACTAAACTATACTAACAAACTATAAAACAACTATATAACTATATATAACTATATAACAAACTCTAACAAACTATACTAACTAAACTATACACAAACTAATCGGCTTATATACTATCTGTCGTATCCCAAACACTATCTATGGTGTGGTCAAATTAAAGCAGCCAATCAGATGAGCCCGATGGATATAACGTGTAGGAAAAAAAAATTCGCCCCCCGGGGCCACCATATTGGCAAATTCCAATATGGCCACCACCCGGGTTGGGGGGCAATCTAGTTAAACATCCAAAAGATCTATAATCATAAATAATACCACTTTTTAGGGGTTTTCAAGGTCTGGGAATCTGATTCTGATCTTACTTCAGTGATTTGAGGTCAAGGTCACCCCTCAAGGTCACCCTAAAGGTCATTTTGGGGTCAAATATGTCATTTTTAGTGTTTTTTGTCAATATATACAAACAGCACCTCATTTTATCGGTTTCCGGGGTTGAGTAACCCGAATCTGACCTTATTTGAACGATTTGAGGCAATATTGCATGTCAGGGTCACGATAGAGGTCACCCGACCGAGAGGTGAATCGTACGTCAATTATAGGTAAAAAACATTAAACACTAAGAATTAGACATAATACCACTTTTTAGGGATTTGTGGCCTCTGAGAATCCGATTCTGATCTTATTTTGGCGATTTGAGGACATAGTGACCACATTTTGGGGTCAAAGGTCAAAGCTCAGCAGTGTACTACTAAAAAATAAACAAAGATTATTCAGGAATCAATTTTTATTAAAGTAATTCAGACTAAAGTATTACTACTGGTCATCTTCGCTATTAACGCACCCACCTTCGCATTTGCAAAGGGCCGTACATCGGACACCGGCGCGGTTGCATTTGCACCTTCCTGTGCATGGCTTGAGGCAGCCGCAGTGCAAGAGAATGGCACATGCCACTGAAGCGTCGCTGAGAGTGGTCCATAGTGGTTGCCATGTACTGGTGCCATCTTTGTGCCATCCCCACTCACTGAAGTCAGGAATTTCTTGCTGGATCGAGGTGGTCTGACTCCAGTAAAAATGTGCCTGTAGTAACGCTCGCTTCACATGCTGGAACAGTGCTGCTTGGGTAGGTGGAATATTTTCCAGTGATCTGCTTCCAGTGGTGAAGAGGCGATGCCTGGCCTCATTGACACCAGCTGCACCACACCCCTTGCTGTACATGAGTACCACGAAGCGTTCGATCTTCTGCATATATACAGACACCAGACTGAAGAGGTCAGGGTCGCGTGTGAGAGCCACTAGTGTGTCGGTGAGGTCCGGCATGCTTTTCCAGGCTGCCCAGGCGGTCTTCTTGCCACATCCAAGAAACTGTGAAGTCGTGTCACATCCTGTTAGGCTGTGGAAGAGGGGTAGTGCCAAGAACTTTGAAGGACCGAGATTGGAGCCGATGGTATGGACTGGAATATCACGGTACTTTTTACCAGTACCGAACCCCACCCAGAGCTCTGATAGGCCGAGGGTCTCGAAAAACCGGATTGCCAAAACCACGACATCGCTGTCCACCGTGCGAACATAGGCTGTTGTATGACCCTGCTCTGCGGCATGTGCCAGATGCAGTAAGATCCTTGTGTCCGCCTCGGAATGGTTGCACGGCTGAAGTGTTGTGAGGTCACAATGCTTGTTGGAGAGCACGGTCTCGAAACGGGTACTCAGGAGGAGCTTTCCACCCATGTCGTTCTTGGAGATCTCTGTGCTGATGAATGAGAAGAGCTCCTTCTTGTTCTCCTCAATTTTTAGGAAGCAACTGGACCATTCATGCTTCGGGATTTGAGTGCTGCCATCGCCGACTCTTGTCCGTGGGCCCTTCCCACGTCGTAGCTGCGTGAGAGCTTTGAGGTTATTTTCCTCGGGGTAATTATCCCATACAGCGTCGATGCGTTGGGTACCACTCTTCATTTGGGCGCTCCAGAAAGGTACAATGTGAAGCGGCACATACTCTGCTGAATGTTTGGCTGTTGTGGGGCGCACCATGTGGACCACTGCTGCGCATATCCAACACCACCAACGTGGCTTTTTGGGCAGTACGCTGTTGCGCCAGTGGGTGGCATTGAGGCATTGAAGAATGTGACTTCGTCCCAGAGTCGCGCGACCCTCAATTACCGGCGCAAGCTTGGTGCTCTCTCTGATTTTCCAGCACGAAAGAAGTCTGTCATGTCTGCATCGGGACAACGACTGAAGTGAGTAGGAAAAGTTTGCCGTGATTAAGGTCATAATTCTGGCTCTGTATGCGCAGTGTCCTTCTTGCCTTTTTTGGGGTCAGGGTCCGGTTGGCGAATGTTAGCATGTGTTTCGCCTTGATGGTATCCAGATACCGGTACTCCGAAGCTTTTTTCCCCAGCCTTTTCAATGAGTCTATTCGCATGAAGGGCCTTGGCCGCTTCATGGATTTGAAGAATAAAGAATTAGCAACGAGCCTGGTTCCGTGAAATTACTGTGTATCGAGTTGCTAAGCAAGCTCCTGAGCTGTAGTAAAGAAAGGGTTGCCTAGCTGCTCGACCACCTCGATGAACGATAGTACATCCATTCGAAACTTGACTTGCAAGCTGTGTCCTTCTCATGATGAGGGCAGTGGAAAATTGAGTGATAGGTGGTCCGTGGATGGCCCTGCGAACCTCTCCACAACTATCGCGTGCGGCCAGTCAGGGATGCCAATAAAGCATCTTGTTTTTCTGTGCGATTCCATTCTCAGAATCTGCTTCCAGTAAACCACACGTACACACACACACGGCCGCACGCGCACGGCACAACGCACAGGCGCACACACCACGCACACACACACGCACAACACACTACGCGCACACGCAACACGCAACTCACACACACACACAGCACACACACACACGCTTACACACACACTCGGAATGCAGCAGAGCGTCGCGTCCTTGCGCCAAATCATGCGTGTACGTGTTCGGGCAAGATTCTCTGTGTGAGATTGGATGTCCGGACGGCCTATAAGCCTAGGCGGCTCCTGCGTCCGGAAGCGTCGCGTAGGCGCATGCGCCACGGCCTTATTTTTTTAGTGGTGGCCAGGCGGGCCACCTAACGCCGACAGTTTTCAGGTGGGCCGACGCCGTTTTCAGGTGGCCAATTGGCAGGCCCGGCCACTGGTTAAAGTCGAGCCCTGCGTCAGTGTGCAATGGGCTCATTATACATAGGAAACAATTATAGTTGCTAATTTTCCGTGAAAAGTCGTTTGTCGTTACGGTCGGTCGTTGTCGCTGCAGTGTGTTCTGCTAAACAACGTGTTTCTGTGGACAAAAAATCTCTAAACGTTTTTGGATGTGGGTGACACAGGACGCCAGAACTGGTTTGACCCCAAAATGACGCTTTAGGGTGACCTTGAGGGGTGACTTCTTGACTTCGAATCCTATAAATAAGATCAGAAATGCGGATTGCTCAGAGGCCACAAACGCTCTAAAAAGGGGTATTATTGTCTGATTCTAGCACTTTTGTTTTTTATCCTATAATTGACGTACGATTCACCTCTCCGGTGGGTGACGCTCTATCGTGACCTGACTTGCAATATTGCCTCAAATGTTCAAATAAGGTCAGATTCGGTTACCTCAACCCCGGAAACTGATAAATGAGGTGCGTGTATAATATAACAAAAAAACATAAAAAATGACATATTTGACGCCCAAAAATGACCTTGGGTAACTTTGAAGAGATGACTTGGACCTCAATCACTGCGCAGTAAAATAGAATCAGATTTCCCAGACCTTGAAAACCCCTAAAAAAGTGGTATTAATTTATGATTATAGTTCACTTTTTGGATTTTTAACTAGATTGAACCCCCAACCCGGGTGGTGGGCCATATAGTCAGGGGCAGATATCCAAAATAAGGATGAGCCAAAAAAACTTTTTGGGTAGAGTGGAAACGGGTAAATATCATTTTCTATGATACTTGGGGAGTTCCACTGGGTATGTTTCGCAGCTGACTTTTGCGTATTGTGGCGGCCATCTTGAAATCCAAAATGACCCAGCGAAAAATGGATTTTCTGAAATATCTGTCCCTCCAGACGTCGTAGAAGACATAATGTTGGTGGCTATACCCACATTTTCGATAGTGGAGAACCCAATTATCACACTATGAGAAAACTAGGATGGCGGCCATATTGGATTTCAATATCGCGCCAGTGAAATTGTGTTATTTTGAATAAACTAGACTCCAAGACGTCGTAGAGAACATAATTTTGCTGTTCTATACCCAGCATTTCGGGATAGTGGAAAACCCAGTTATGGACACTTTTAGGAAAAGCGCATAGGATTGGCGGCCACTTCATTGGATTTCAAGATGGCCGCCTAATGAAAACTTGTTTATTTTGTGTCTTGAAATAACTAAAATCATAA